ATATATATATATATAATATATAAATATTTTTTAAAGAAAGAAATATTTAATAGAAACTTACAAAGAGAGGCAATGTCTTGGGTGCCCACAAGACATTGGATCCCTACACCCACTCTCCAGAAAGTATCCTGTATATATTAAGCTTTTTGGATAAACATGTGCAGCTGTTCACACCTCTGACTCACTTGCTAAAACTTGTGACCCTTAAGAAGGTTAGATAAACATCTTTTTGATGGGCTATCTATGTCACAGGCATTGTTTAAAGAACTTGCTGCAGAATACCTTGGTATGCAAGAGTTAAACGTCAATCTTCATGGTAGTTTTGCTTCAGGATGGCATCACTCTTCCTATGCAACAGGCTGTTTTTTTACATTATATGATAATAACTGTACATATTTGTCAAGTACATAGTGATGTTTTCAAACATAAAATGTTTAGTGATTAGATAGGTTAATTAGAAGATCTGTCATCTCAAACGTTTATCATTTCTTTGTTGGGAATATTAAAATCCTTCTTCCTCATATTTAAAACTATTTATTAATATTAGCTATAGTCATTCTATAGTCCTGTAAAACACTAGAATTGATTCCTCCTATCCAGCTGCATTTTGTATACTTTTATAAACCCCTAGCCTTCCCAGCTTCTGGCATACTCTGTTCTTTTTTTTTATTTCCACCAGATCTTCTTTTTTTAGTTTTCTTACTTGAGCGAGAATATGTGGTGTTTAACTTTTTGTTTCTGGCTTATTTCATGTACAATAATGTCTTCCCGTTTCATCCATGTTGATGCAAACGACATTTCATTCTTTTAAGAAAATTGTTATGGCTAAATAGTATTCCACTGTATACATATACCACTTTCTTCACCCATTCATAAACCAGTGTTAAGGTTTTAAAAGACCATATGCATTTAGGATAATATAGCTGGCTTGGACCTCTCCAAAATTAGAAGTGTGGTTGGATTCTACCAATAAACCAAGATCGCTGAAAGGCAAAACCTTAATAAGCAGGTGAGAAAATAATACAGGTCCAGCAAAAGGTTAAAGTAGAAGTACTTAACACTCAGCCAGGGCACTGCAATGAAAGCGGAATGTAAAGATTTGTTGCTCTAAGAATTTGTAATAATAGCCTTTTACTCGTGTATATTTGGGACTAGAAGTTAAATTTTATAGTCTAAGACATTACAAACTGAAAAGTTTAGCTTAAAGAAGTTGAGACTGGAAGTCACCCCAGTCAGCTTTCACAAAGTCAAACTCTTCCTGGCAGACTACGCTGTAAACTTGACCTCAAAGAATTCCCACAGATAATATTCTAATAAAACTGAGTTCAAAATAAAATCATAAAATGTGAAGTCCAAGTCAACACAATTGAAAGTAAGTACAAACAACAGACCTACAAAGGCAGCAGGCATCAGCATTGGCGCTTATACAGTCTGCGCAAATGCGAAGGAAGGTTCTTTCTCTTTCTCTTTTTTCTCAAAGCAAGTATTACTAACAGATATTTTTTCACATGCCTCATCTTTAATTATATTTTTCTTATGACATAAATTATTGTATAGAAAATTACATCATACTATAAGAAAATAAAAACTATGTATATTCCCAATACTCACAGATAAAGAACCTGTCCATCCAGTTTATATATAACTCTCATCAAAACAGATTTTTAAAAGTAACATGATTATTATCTAGCTGTTATCTATCTTGAGATTACAATGTATGTAGAAACACGTTAACAATGGTTAGTTGAGTACTGCAAATGTGCATAATCAAATTCTTCTTTATACATTTTTGTATCTTCTAATTTTAGATGCAATGAAACTGTATTTTATAGCACAAAATGGAGTTTTTGATAAAAGGAACAGGTATCAATTAAAATAAGTGAATATTGGCAAAAATAGCAGAAGAAAACATAAATTAATATGAGATCGTATAAATTACCCACCTGTTTTCCCAAACATTATAAACTGAATTACTTACTAAACATCAAATTAAGAAAAATCATAACACATATATAGCATAGTGTTATTATATAAAGCAGTTACAAAATTGGTAAGAAAAACTATCAGACATGGAAAAGCAAGAATAAACAAATGAACAATTCCCAAAAAGTATATGCTATTGGTTAATCCTGTAATAATGCTTAACTTCACTAGTAAGCAAATATATGAGAAGTAAAGATATTTTTGTAATCAAGGTAATGACATTAAATATAGTAACCTTCTTAATTTTGAGATTGGAACAAGAGGAATATTTTCTCACTATTAACATGGGTTTACTATTTCTACAGGGCAATTTATCAACTCTGAAAGGAATTTATCAAATTTCTCGCCATTGGAATTTTCCTTAAAAATAATTTTCATAGTGTTCGGTCTATATACTAGTCCTACTGAACCTTTGGTTTCTGGAATGCCCTCCACTCCTTCTTGTCTCAAGACCTCGACATGATGCTTTCCCATCCCAAATTTCTCCTCCTTTGTCCACCTTACTCCTCCTACACATTATTTAGATTTCAAACTAAATCATCTTAACTTCAGTGACATCTTGTCTGTTCCCAAGACCAGGTCACGTCAGCACCCTATAGTTTTTCTCTCCCAATATCGTAAGTTTATTGTTCAAGTTAGCCAGCTAGTCACTTGCTTTCTATTAGAATATATTATCCATTATACTGGTTACTTGTTCACTACTGTATCCTCAATACCTAGCAGAGTTAGCATTAAAAATATTTATTGAATGCATGAATAGCATTCGTGCTCTGTAATACTCTGTTTATTTCTAACAGTGGAAAACTGAAGACAACTTAAATGTAAACAATATGATAAACATTAAGTATATTATTGTATATTTGCAAGGGGAGCTATTATGTACCTCTTAAAATTATTATTACAAATCATTTTTTGAAAACATGAGAAAATGAATAAATTCTACATATTCAACATAATCTATGTGGAGAGCATAGTTCTTTATACAGTGTAATTTCAAATAAGTTAACTGATATATTTGGTTGAAACAGGCAGTGGCATTAGGTTTTTTTTTTCCTGTTATCTTTTAACTGTCTGTGCATTCTAAAACAATAGTTTAAAAATATAAAAGTATTGATTTGGAAACCTGACATAGAAAATTAATTAAGCCCTTATAGTTGGAAATATTTCACACATCAGGCTATAAGTATGCGATCAAAGCACTTTTGGAAGTTGCCAAAATAAGTCACTGAGTTTATAACCTGGGTTGGACATAAAAATCCACTTTAAAACTTGAAATTTGAAACATGTCTGTGAGTGCAAGTCTGTGTATATGAATGTGTGTGTGTGTGTGTATGAAACCTTAAGGCAGAACATTTCATCTTTCACACAGATTCTATCCTGTGTTCATCTTGTATCCTTTGGTCAGGGACTGTGTTGAATCTTGCATCCTTTGGATTTATGCTTCCATAAAAACCTTAACTATAATTGGTTCATAACCTGCCTTATCTCAAGTCACTGATTTTGAAGAGCACATTTATTTCATCAGTGTTTTGATCCCATATCCCCCAACTAGACTCTCATTTACCTAGCTATATTTCACATTACTACATCTATTACTATGACTATTTGCTACACATCAAACATACACCAATAAAAAATAATGTTAGATTAAAAAAATGAAAACAAAAAACCCTTTAAATAATTAAAATAGCACACTGAAAAGAAGCATCCCATCTGTCCTCACTTTTATGTCCTAAATGTCAAGATTGATCTAACTTTCTTTTTTTTTTTTTCTTTGGGTTGTCTTGGAGAATGAGTGTCCTTGCTTCCGAAAAGTCAGGTAAAGCACAACAAGAAGTCTTGTTTTCGAGCTTCTTCTCACTGTGGTAATCTTTACAGTGAACAATCTCCAGGCTGATGTTTTTCCTCTAGGCAGTTTGTAGAAAGAAGTTGCAGGGTAGGGAAACTGACCAAGCCACCGAATTTGCATGTGAGATTAAAATCTCCTCAAAGACTGAGATTCCCTGAAACGTAGTCAAAACAATTATGGAAGATTTCAGTGATCTTTAATGACACAGTTAAAAAACAATGCGAGAATGCAGTGCAATGAAACATATCTTCAAGGATTTATTCACTGGATTATTTTCATGGTACATTCATTTGCCCTGAAGATGTCTATGTGGCTCTGAGACTTTTCCGTTTTTCACAGCACTTTAATTGCTGCAGTGCCCTCAAAGAGGCTTGCTTTAGTTTGCTGTTTCCTAGAATTAAGATAAATGAATGACCCCAGGGATAGATGACACTGGTCGTTATTCCAAACATAAGCAGAAGTTTGTTTTCTGGCACAGAAAAAATTGATATTTCTATGATAATGCTTACAAAATACAAGATAAAGAGGATGATGAAAGATACCAAAACTTTCATTGCCTTCACATGAGCTTCTGTGTTGACATCCCTGAATCCTGTCAGATTCAATTGCATCTGCCTGTTGTGTCTCCAAAGGGAAATGATTAACAAAACACATGTAATTAGGGATAGTGTAAAGGAAAAAATGACTCCCAGATTTAGCAAAACCTGTTTAATAAAGTATTCACTTCTATTCATGTTGAAAAGCCAGACTGTGGCATTCTTCATTTTATGATCATTAAACATCTTCACAGTGTGTGGAAAACTAAGTAACCATGAAATAAGTAAGCATCCCATCAGAAAGGTAGGAATCCTGTTTATTCTGTTCTTCAACCAGAGAAATATGGTGTTGGAAAAATTTGCTATCTTCAGGAAATAGAAGATGCTGAGGCTTGTGGCAAACCATATACTTGATTGATTAATAATTAACCAAAAGTAACTAATACCTTCAACTAGGTTGAATGCATTAGATAAATATATATCTGGAGAGAATATATGCATAAATCCATCTGCAATTAGTAACCATATCAGACAAATTCTAGAAATAGCTAAGCCAGTTAGAATAAAGCCAATCGTAGAGAACTTATGCTTGGCACAGTCAATGCAGTTTACAAGTCCAATAAATCCATTCCCTAACGTGCCCAATACTGACTCACTAATTATAACAAAAATGAAGATGCCATCCACTACACTTAGCATATTGGCTAATCCTTAATATTTCTTCTGTTATATCTGTCTTAGATTACCTGCTGCAGAATGAGTCCTATATTGGCTGTTTGATGGAAGTGTGACTTTCTTCTCATTCATTATATAAAGACTTGAAATTGCCCCAGTAATGGCTTGTGATGGAATCAGAAATATCTTGATGAAGACTTCTCCGAATATTTCTACAAAATATAGCTAGTCTAGAGAAAGTGTGTTCAGACTGAATGCCTATCCATAATTTGTTAAGATGCAAATGAAAGTTTCTGTTTCATGGATTTTACATGTCCTCCTGAGACTATTTTGCATTTAATACTTGAATTTTGGAGGAGTGACAAACATATACCTATAGAATATAATGCATAACATAAACAAAAATTTGACTTTATCTTTTTAAATATCAAATATTTATATTTTTAAATATCAAATCATATCAAATTATGATTTATGTTGTTGATAATCAATTTATATATGTAAAGGAAAATACTCTATAGAAGTGAAAAACAAATTTAGCCATTGTAGATACCTACTCTAAATGATCAATTTAATTTTTAATTAAAATTTAAGCTCAACTCTGGGTATGGCAAGTTTCACAAATGTATCATAAATCTGTTGCTATTGTCTTATACTTAATAGTTGTCACACCCTTGAATGCAGAAGATTATGTTGACTGCCCTTGACATGAAAGGGTCTCAGGACTAATCTCCTCATTTAACACATTACTGTTTGCCGGCACCCACTCATTTATCCAACAAGTGTTCACTGAATATCTAGATACAACAGGCTCTCTTTTGAGCTTGAAGGAATATAGTGGTAGACAGAATCTCAAAGCGTGTGTGATTTAAGGATTGTACATTCTAATGAAGGAGGTGGGAAACAATCAAGTAAATCAACAAACTGATCTAAGAATTAAAAGTGAAATCTAAGATTTATTGAGCTTTTATTATAATCCTAGCACTATGTTCAGTACCTTAAGGTTATTTTTCTCATCTTAATTTCACAAACCTTCAATCCTTTAAAAGAGGGACTACTTTTGTCTTTACATTTTACATTAAAAATAAATAAGCTTTAGAGAAAGGAAAACCTTTTCTCATTTATCCTGGCATGACTCCCACAAATAAAATTGCACAATGATTTCAAAATGAAGTTACGTCAAGCGTAGGAATAGACTATAAATGATAGTCAGCAAAACAAAACCAACCAAAAGCAAGTAGAAAATTTAAATTCTCATGGACTGCACATATTGGAATTGACAGCTCAGAATTTGTATAGATAAATTAGCTAATGTATACGCTGTTTACAAAAAACAAGATGCAATTTCAGAGAAGAGCAGTAAGAGATTGTCAGAAAGAAACAGGAACATCTGGGAACAAAAATTCTAGAAATGGAGAATATAATTATATAAAATGTAAATGAGGTAAATACTCAAAGTAAAGTATTGACGAGGAAGAATTTAAAACTCTGACAATATACTGCTTACAAGAAACCCAATTTAAATATAAAAAGGGAAAGCTGTAAAATAAAATTATGGAAAAATAAGCCATGAAAACATTATGCAAAAGAAATCTGGCAGTTATAATAATATTATATAAAGCAGACTTAAAGGTAAGAAGCAGCATTAGAGAAGAAATGTGGAGTGTATTTTACAATGATAAAAATGGTCGAATCTACAGAAAGATACAGTAATCCCAAAGTTTATGAACTAAATAATCTAGCAAATATTTACAGAAAAGGAAAAATAAGACAAATCTACAATCAAAATGAAAGATTGTAAAATACATAACTCAATAGCTCATACTAGAAACAGACCAAAATCAATAGATGGAAAATATATGAAAAAACAATTGATGATAGACTGGATAGGGAAAATGTGGCACATATACACCATGGAATATTATGCAGCCATCAAAAACGATGAGCTTGTGTCCTTTGTAGGGACATGGATGAGCCTGGAAACCATCATTCTCAGCAAACTGACAGAAGAGCAGAAGATCAAACACTGCATGTTCTCACTCATAGGCAGGTGTTGAACAATGAGAACACATGGACACAGGGAGGGGAGCACTACACACTGGGG